CCGCCGAAGAATTGATGCCTTTGAATTGTGGTGCTGGAGGAGACTCTTGAGAGTCCTCTGGACTGCAAGGAGAACAAACCTATCCATTTTGAAGGAAATCAACCCTGAGTGCTCACTGGAAGGACAGATCCTGAAGCTGAGGCTCCAGTACTTTGGCCATCTCATGAGAAGAAAAGAGTCCTTGGAAAAAACCTTGATGTTAGGAAGGTGCGATGGCAAGAGGAGAAGGGAACGACCAAGGATGAGATGGCTGGACAGTGTCTGCGAAGCAACCAACATGAACCTGACACAACTCCGGGAGGCAGTAGAAGACAGGAGGGCCTGGCGTGCTCTGGTCCATGGGGTCACGAAGAGGCGTGGGTTTCATTCAGCATCACTGTGCAGAAACAATCACTGCTCCCTCTTTGCACATACTGTATATCGCAGCATAATATTAGCCAACTGGCTGCCTGTATGGGACACTTATCTGCTAAAGCAGATGCACGGTTTTTGTGTTGGGGACAAAGCTGCAGACATTCGCAACATCCTCACAGGAGTGTTATTTCTGTTTGACTCTTTGAAGACATGCTACTACGGCGCTACTCTAGTGCTCTCTGAGCGTAAAGAGAATAAATAGAAATGTAACTAGGTCTAGGGTTGGAATGTGCAGGAAAACTACTCCACTCAGTAATATATCCTGGTAGGCCAGTCATGCTAGTAGTTGACAGTCCATTTAGACACAGGAAAAGAACATGTGGAGGAATACAGGAAAGTAAAACATCCCGAAAGAGGCAGAACCAGGATATCCTGAGGTGGAGAAAAGGCAGGGAGGGGGGAGAAAAAAGGTAAGGTGATTCCTTTATTTACCTTTGGACTGTAAAGCTCCCTCATATTGACACACACTGCCTACTATTTTAAGGTCTCACCTTTCCTCCTTTGCCTCATTTATTTGTTCCAACCCCCATGTTGTTGTTTAGTCGTTAAGTCGTGTCCGACTCTTCGTGACCCCCATGGACCAAAGCACGCCAGCCCCTTCTGCCTTCCACTGCCTCCCGGATTGGGATCCTGCCAACCTCCCCATGCACTATACTAAAATGTAACAGCCCTTATAAAAGAAAACATAATATAGGAATCAGAGCCTTAAATCAAATATCACGCTAGCAAATATCCACTAGTGTGATGAAATTTACTTTTCTCTCCACTGCACCGTTTCCATGCTTCCTGAAAAACCAGCTTCCCAGCCCTTCTGCAATAAGTGTTGAGGACTAACGTTGGGTGTGGGGAAATGTGGAGGAAATGGAAACGGTCCCCCTCTCGGTTCTGTGGCTGGATTCAGGTCTATCCACAGAATGGCAATGTTGGATTGTGCCCACAGACCATAATAGGAAGAAATAGAAAACAATTATACTTTCTTTTTTCTTCTTTTTTTAAAATTCATTTATTTTTTAACAATTAGGGATAAGGTAAGGGATACAGCATGAAAAGGCGGTGATGATATGACTCTAGCTATTCATAGCAAAAGATTTTTGCCTAACACATACCATAGCATCCCCCTTAGTTATACCAGACTAGTTCCATGTGGCAAACAATATAGAGGACCAAACAAAAAAAGATTTTATATATATATATTACTTTACATTTATTCCCACCACCACCACCTCAGGTAAAACTCTTAGTGATCTTGCAGCAGATCTCCCTGGCTTTTTGATTCCCAGAAGTTTAATAATAACTAAAACTGGAAGGTTTATTTCTTCCCCCCCCATGGTGTGCACATTCCAATCGGTTATCTCTTGCCTTTGATATATCCCACTTATAAAACATGTATACTTTATGTCTGTATGTGCCCCTCTGGCTGTTTTTACAGACTCACAAAAGTCCCTGCCAATGTTACTGAATTTATCAGTCCACTGCAGTGTCTCTACAAATGCTGTTGTGCATTAAAACTTCAGGAGGGTAGCAGAACACTTTAGAATAGCACTCCTGCTTTAAAACCAGTTGTGCAAGGAGTGCATACCTTCTTTTGGTGTCACGAAATACTCCAAGATGCATTAACTGGCTTCAAATAAAGGTCATGGTTTCCAGCTGCCTTATTTTAAAGCAGCATATTTATTTGTTTGTTTGATTGTTTGTTTGCTTGCTTGCTTGCTTACTTATTTACAAGACTGCTTAGCTCACTCTTACCAATGGTCTCTGAGTGGTGTGCAACAATATTAAAACTTTAGAAACTTACTTACTTACAAGTTTGCTTAGCCTCACTCTTACCAACGGTCTCTCGAATGGTGTGCAACAATATTAAAACTTTAGAAAAACATTAAAACCATTAAAATACGCAATATTATAATAATATCCTATATTAAAACAGTCAATTTATCACTAATAGATCCTGCTGCTCATACAACCAGCTAAAGGATACAATTTGATTACAATGCTGGATAAACAGAAAGGTCTTTGCCTGGCACCAAAAAGCCAAAAGTGTCAGAGCCAGGCGGATCTCTATAGGGAGGGTGTTCGAAAGTTGGGGGGGGGCAACAGCCGAAGACAAGCTAAAGGATACCATTTGATTACAATGCTGGATAAACGGAAAGGTCTTTGCCTGGCACCAAAAAGCCAAAAGTGTCAGAGCCAGGCGGATCTCTATAGGGAGGGTGTTCGAAAGTTGGGGGGGGGCAACAGCCGAAAAGGTCCTATTTTGACATGCCACCCGCCTCACCTCTTTCAGGGATGGCACCTTCAGAAGGGCCCACCAAAAAGCCAAAAGTGTCAGAGCTAGATGGATCTCTATAGGGAGGGCATTTGAAAGTTGGGGAGGGGGGCAACAGCCGAAAAGGTCCTATTTCGACATGCCACCCCCCTTACCTCTTTCAGGGATGGCACCTTCAGAAGGGCCTCCTGGCCTGATCTTAGAGTACAAGCAGGCTCGTATGGAAGAAGACGGTCCTTCAGGTAACCAGGTCCTAAGCCGTTTAAGGCGTTATATGTCAAAGTATCTGCTTGGCACTTTGAAAGCTTTCTGTCAGACTCCATGATTTTTCATAACTTGGAGGTAGACAGGCTCTTGCACCAGTCAGTAACCAACTCCACTGTTCCCTCTATTTACAACCAATCTCCAATCTACACCTGACTTTGATTAGTGGACCTTGAGGTTCTACTGGGGAAAAAAACAAAGTAAATACCACACACTTGAACTGTGGGTGCATCTACACTGGCCCTTTTGGAGTGGAATGGTAAGGGCTAAACAAGGTTAACTCGGGTCAGGAGGGGGTACAACATGCCATTTGGTATGATCCTATGTATTTGGTTTGGCTCCTTCTGATATCACAAAGTGGCTTAATAAGCAAACCACTTCACGATACTGGAGAGCGAAACATTTCCTCCACTTCTACACAGAGGGCTGGAGAAGTGATTTTTATTATTATTAAAAGATTCTAGTAGACTGTCCTTGAGACGCTCCATCAATTAAAAAACAAAACTGTATTTTCTTTGGTTTGTCTGAATGACTACTCGAAAAACTGCCTGCAGCTGAATCCATGGAAGTACAGTGGTGCCTCGCCTAACGACGTTAATTCGTTCCAGCGAAATCGCTGTAGAGCGAAAACGTCGTCAAACAAAATTTAAAAAACCATTGAAAACCGTTCAGTGCATTCCAATGGGCTGAATACCTGCTCATCCAGCGAAGATCCTCTATACAGCGGCCATTTTCGGTGCCTGTAAAGCAAGGAATCCGTCCTAGAAAACAGCCATTTTCTTCAGCTGGCGGCCATTTTGAACCCCAACGATCAGATGTTTGCTGATCATCGTAAAGCGAAAATCAGTTCCCGAAGCAGGGAACCGATCATTGCACAGCAAAAAAAAAAAAACCATTTAAAGGATTGTTTTGCAATCGCAAAAGTGATCGCAAAAACATCAACATAAAGCGGATTCATCGTAGAGCAGGGTAATCGTCCAGCGGGTACGACTGTATCTTGTTGGGGGAAAATGTGATTTGAAGGATATAAAAAAGCAGCACAAAGACAAAAGGACGCATCAGTGAAATATTCCTTCTCTCACCTGTTCCTCAGCTGTAGTCTAACGCCACCTGGCCAGGCTGCTTTGCTCTCTTGCGAACCAGACTTGAGGCATTCTGAATGAAAGGGCTCGGGAGAAGCAACGCCACCGAGCCACTTTGCTCCACATGTATCTCTGTGAAGAGAAAAACCAAAACAAACATAACTGACGATGCTATCACCCTTTCGTAAGAAACATTCAGGAATAAAACAGTGAATTCCTTTTTAACAAAATACATTAGAGAGAACCCTATAACCGTGGGCAAACATTACAATCATAAGATAATTATAAAACAACTGCTCAAAAGAAACGTGACAATACAGCCACAGAAACAGACTTGATTCAAGGAATTCAAGACAACATGGTATGAAAAGATTGTTCTTACACAGCAACAAGCTCACACACGTCTTCCAAGAAGTCAATCCTGTTGAGATCAATAGCGCTCATTCCTGGGAAAATGTGCGGATGGTTGCAGTATTATATCACTAAAAGTTTTAGGTGCAATCCTAAAGGAGTCTCTTTACATGCCACCAAATGTATACAGCTATGTCTCTCTTCCATATTTAAGCAAGTCTACTAAGTCCAACCTAGCAGTTCGAAAGCATGCAAATGCAAGTAGATAAATAGGTACCACCATGGTGGGAAGGTCACGGCGTTCCGTGTCTAGTCGCGCTGGCCACGTGACCACAGATACAGTCTTTGGACAAACACTGGCTCTACGGCTTGGAAACGGGGATGAGCACCGCGGCCTAGAGTCAGACACGACTGGACTAAATGTCAAGGGGAACCTTTACCTTTACTAAGTTCAAAAGGAAGCTTTCTGTGCTGTTGATTTCAAATGTATTTTTACTTTTGATTTGATTTACTGTTTTTAATATAATACTTGTTCAATTCTTTTTCAGTATTTATATAGTTATTGTTTTTAGCTTTTAAATATTGTCTTTTTAATGATGCAAGCCACCATGGGCCCTTTTAAGTACTATGTATGTATGTATGTATGTATGTATGTATGTATGTATGTATGTATGTATGTATGTATGTATGTATGTATGTATGTATGTATGTATGTGTGTGTATGTATGTGTGTGTGTGTGCGCGTGTGTGCGTGCGTGCGTGCGTGTGTGTACAGTATAAATAGATGAATGAGCTGGCTTATTCAAGTGTTTGTGCATTGAGCCTGGTACCTTATGGTGTTGGCTGGCAGAAGCTCTCCAAACTCTCCCACAGAAAAGCAAGTTCCCCCAACCATCTACTTCTTTATTCTGATTTTAATTGGGGTCTTATGTACATTTATCACTGACTTAAGCTGTGGCACGTCTGGTCTAGCGCTCAGGAAGTTTGTTCTTTCCTTGTTTTTTTCTGGACTGCAACTCACAGAACCCACCCACCTCCATCAACATGGCCCACGGGGATTCTGGGCACGGTAGTCCCCAAACGTAACTTTCCCCAGGTCTGCTCTGATAAAACAAAGTTAAAATCTGACGTATGAAAAAAAAAGATGTTGTCAACTGCCGTTACTTCTTATAAATGGCAAAGCGGATTCCACAGGTTAACCAATAATCATGATTATTGTAGTGATTATTGTGCGAGGAATCTGGTTTGTACACGTAGTGACTTTCACATTAAAATTCTGCACCTTTGTCAAATATTGCAATCGCAACAGCTGTAATTAAGGAAGATTCCCCCTATACTATGTAAGCATGAAAAGAGCCCTTCTCACTCTGACATGGGATTCTGCACACAGGCATGCCTGGACTGCACTGCCTCTTGCACCTGTACCTTCAACAGGTACAGTGCCTGCTTAGTACTGTGAGTAACTGTGCTACTGAGGTTGTATTCCCCAACCCAGAGAGCTTATCTCCCAAATCTACCCATGTGGGTAGCACAGTGTCCTGACAAAAGAAAAGCGCTAGCTGGACTGTCCAGAGGAAATTGCAAAAAAAAAAATGCTTTATAGCGTTTTCTTCCTTCAGAAGGGAGGACGTATGAAGAAAATCTATCATTAATGGAAATTACCTCCCACTTTATGGGAACATGACAATTTCAGTAAAGCAGGAATTTGGCAGACGCCAGTATTGGTGTAAATGATGTAATACTGGACTGGGACTTAGGAGATCTGGGTTTGAATCAGTCATGGATGTTCACAGAGGAATGGCAAGGGTAAACTAGTCCTTCAACATGTCATTTAACCTTAAAGGGTGGCTGTCAGTTGGATGCAACTTGATAGTTTATAGCAACGTGATGTGTGCATGCATAAAAGGAGTCTGCACCCCAGAACACCACCCATATATAAATAATTCCCCATGGTGCAGGTGATGATTTATTAATTGAGGGTTGTTTTGTAGACGTTTCTCTGCCATTATTAGTCTTGCAAAGGCATTACAAAGCAGTCTCCCAAGTTATGCTGAGATTGCAGTTAAAAAAACGCAAAACATTTTTCTTATAAGAATGGGCAACAATTGTGGGAAGGGAACTAGAGAGAATCCATAGCAAGGGGAGATTCTATTTATTGAGTTGTCCCGATTTCTCCTCTTCCTTGTTGGGCAAATACATGAGAGAGGAGAGAGAGAGAAAAAAAATGAAAGAAAAAATGTGTGAAAGGAAAAAGCTTATGTTCCTTTATCCCCATTAAGCCCGGAGAAGAAAATTGGCAAGAGTTCTGCCACGATGGTGACATTCAGAAAGCTTAGGGCTCCAGCCACAGGCCATCCTATAAGGCTTTAGGATGCTTTGGATAGCTGGGATTCCATTGCCCGGAGAGAAAGAAAGGGAAGCCTTCTCTGTGGCCGGCCGAACCTTTCCCCTACTGCTCACTGCTGCCTATCAAGCCCCCACGTGCCGAGAAGGAATTTTAAGCCACTGCCCTGCCGCTGAGGCACAGCCAGGAAAGGACCGCTACAACACCGTCACCTAGTAGACGGGAGAATTTCTGCCTCTCAATGGCATTTTTGCACGGGGTTTGTTGCCGTATGTCACAGTGGCTTTCCAAATCCTCCCTCAGCTGCTTGCCCTTTCGCCTAAATCCCACTCCGCTTGGCTTTGCGGGCTACACTTGTCACTTCTCTGTGTATAATCTGGGAAGGATTCTTTTACACGCCAGGTCGAGGGCCACTGCGGCACTCCGGCGATGCAAAACCACTCCATCCTAATCTTGTATGAACAACAGGAGGAGTGGGAAGAATGCTTACTCCGTTCTTTGTTCTTGTGGGTGGAGCTGTCTTGACTAGACACCTGCATGAGGAATTTTCAAGTCCCCAAAGAGTCCACGCCTCTAGGCCACTGTTTTCCCGCCTTCCTCATCAAGATCTTTGTACCGGATTTTTCCGTGTATAAGACACCCCCATGTATAAGACGCCCCCCCCCCACTTTTCTAATCCAAAATTAAGAAATCTAAGTGGGGCTTAGCAAGTGTAGGGGGAAAGGGATCAAAGCGCTGCAGGATCGCTTTGATCCCTGCTTTCCCCTCCACTTGTTTTTCTTCTCTCTTCAGCTTACTTCCGTGTATAAGACGGCCTTCAATTTTTAGTCTAAAGATTTTAGAAAAAAGTATAGTCTTCTACATGGAAAAATATGGTAATTTTCCCAAGCTGTCCTTTAAGAAGCAAAGTACTTCTGTACACAGTAAGGACAGAATGATCGGCTGATCCGTTTTTAAAAGTTACAAATAACCCATCGGCTGCTTCTGATCTTGAAAATACTACAACGGAAGGCGCTGTCATTCTGTGCCAATTTGCATTTATTTATTTATATTCATTTATTTAAAGCATCTTTACCTCACCTTTTCTTATCAGGACAAGGTAGCTGACATCATTTGAAAAGACAATATTTCAAATATTTAAAAGCAGTATGATATACAAATATTTTAGAACCGGATAAACATTATATTTAAAATGTTAGATAAAACACTGCAGTAAAGTGTGGTGTGCATAATTTCCTTTAGGGAGTCAACCCATCTTGCATTTCATCTTCCTCTTTTCCTCATTATTATCTTTTCCACTGAATCTTGGCTTTTAATATTGTGTCCAAATTAGGAGAGCCTCAGTTTCACCATTTTTGCCTTCAAAGATAATTCAGGTTTGATTTGCTCTAGATTACTGGAGGGCTAAGAGAAGCTGCATGGCAGTATATTCCCACATGTGTAATAAAGCACCAAGATTTCAGCCTTTGTTACAGTAATAAGTTTTTTTCCAAGCAGCTCACACATCCCTGGTATATCTTTCACACCAATGCTTGGAAACATTGGTTTTCAGACTATAGTTCCCTTGGCCACAATCCATGCTGGCTGGGAACCTGGGCAATTTTTAAAAAAGTTTAACCATAGTACAAGACTGTGGCTGAAATCCAACACTAGGTCACAAATAGAGTAGGACAAATGAATCAGTGGAGATCTGGTAGGTCAACAGCTATGCAAGTTCTATTGATTAAATTCGTTCTACTCTAGTTGCAACTTACTACTGGATTTCAGCCTGTGAGTTAGGCTGTCAGTGACCCATTCAAGCTCACTCCAAAAACCTGATGACTCTTCTTAGGTAGGTACCAGCAAACCACAACATAACCTGATCCAAAGCTCAATCTATGTATAAATCTGCTGTGTGAGATGTACGAAGCATTGCAGTGTAATTAAAGGCCTCTTTCTACAATACACAATTGTTCTGTTTAACTCACAGAGCCAAGAGATCACCATCTAGTTCTTGAACAAGAATTCAGATTGCTGATGATCTTGATAAGAAAGACTAGAAAGAAATCCTCCTTCTAATTAACCAACACCATTTATTTAAATGCCAGTTTTGTTCCCAATCTAGCATTAGGAACTAGCTGGAATGTAGAATAATAGGAATTCTGCATACCAGGACTACCACTAATTAGACTAATATTAAGGGCAATTATAGGACAGGCAATTAGAACTTGCATTCTTAGCATGAAATAAAAGGTGGAGGCGCTGCTATTTCTAAGGAACTCTAGACTAGAGTACACCACAAAATGATTTCAAAACGTATACTGGAATAGCATATGGTGTAGCTCAATTCATCCTGTCACTCTGGCCCAGTTTCCAAATTTTACCAGGACCTCCTCATTAACCCATGCCTGGAGTAATTTCTTTTCTTTTCCCGGATATAGCGAAATACATCA